TGTATGAAATTGCTGGTCGTGTGACCTTGGTGGGCCTACCTCTAAGACCCTCTGTTTTTATCTACAAAATGGGGGTTACGTTAGAGGTGCTGAGAGGACTATAGAAAGAGTCTATATACAGGGCCTAACCCATGGTTGGCATTTGATAAGTTAGTCAAAGCCTTTTGCTTCCTAGCTGGGACATGCAGAGGCTGGTGGCAGAGAATCATGGTTTGGGGTATTGGGTTGGCCTGGAGTTGGCCTGGTATATCCAGAACACAGGTGTTTGAGTTGGGAGCCTAGGATTAGAATTGGGTCTCTCTTAGAAGACACATGACCTCAGACATTCAGCCTTCCTGAATCTACACCAATAGCACTGTTAGAAAATAAGTGTTATATATTAGTTCGTAAAAAAAAAATATATATATATATATATATATATATATATATATATATATATATATATATATGCAGGGCCTGGCACATCTATTGCCTGGTAAATAGTGACCATTCTTATAGGATTTATGACTAGGAACCTTCATTCACATGATAGCTACTGAGATAGTATGTAAAGCCAATGATGACATAGGAGAAGCAGGAAAGAACAGAAACCATCAGTGGGAATACAGCTAAGACATGAAGAATATTCAGGAGGGAGAGACCTGGGGTATGGAAAGAAGTAAGGTGCCAATTAAGGCTGAGACTGCAGAGCCTGGAAGACTCTGCAATCACGCTGTTTTTCTCACCATATAAATATAACTGAATGCTATTTCACTAGACATCTCACAATTGATGTGATTAATATAAAAAATAATAATAATGACTACTGGGATGATCATGTATTTCTTGAAACTGAGGAATGCATAAAAGATGCAATGTAAAACAAAGCTGAAGATAGAATTCCTACATTTTCCTCATGGAATATTAAATGCAATAGATCATACAAATTTCATTGTCACTTGCATAGACAATTGAACAATTTCTTATAAAATATACTGGTGTGTTCTTTTTAAAATAACATAATCACTGACACCCTGTTCATTTTACAGAAAAGGAGAAATGGTCCACTCTGTTCAGTTGGTGAGTAATGCAATGATAATTTTCAGATATTCAAACAACAGGGCTTCAAAATGACTGTCTTTGGCCCCTCAAACCTGTGGCATTTTCTAACTTACTCATTCAAGCAGGCAATCTAGCTCACTTTGGATCTTCTGTCATTAAAAGGATTTATAAAACCTCAGAATATTATGTGATGCCATTTACCCACTTGAGCAATTAAAGAAATATGAGAAAGTAAGACAAAAAATCCACATTTCTTAGTTAAGTTTTCCTTATTTAAATTCTGCACACACACACACACACAAAAAAAAAAAAAACCCACATTTGTGTAACGAGAAGATTTCAGCTAGGTAAATATGCTCACGTTGCCTGGAGCAGTGGCACATGCCTATATCCCAGCAACTTGGGGGGCTGAGGCAAGAAAATTGCAAATTCACAGACAGCCTCAGCAACTTAGCGAGACCTTAAGCAATTCAGTGAGACCCTGTCTCTACATAAAAAAAATATGAAAAAAGAATGGGGATGTGGCTTGGTGGCTAAGCAGCCCCAGGTTCAATCCCTGGTACCAATAATAATAATAATATATGTTAAAAATATACATACACACATATGCATACACTGATTTGTCCACTAAGAAACTCTGCAACCCTAGACAAATTCTTGGGGCCTTCAGTTCCTCAAGTGTAAACAGGAGGAGTTGGCCTGGTATATCCATAAGATCCCTCCTAGTTGACAAATCATGTAATTCTAAGGTACAAGCAAGTCCTTCCAGAAAATGTTTAATTATCGGGGGAAGAAGAAATACAAATTAATCCAACTATGAGGCCTCTGGAATAAAAGCCTAGAGGTGTTAAACTGCAGTTGATATAAAGTAGTCCTATTAAAATGATAATGTATAAGAAAGGGATTAACAACATCTATCATTTGAGATCGTAGGGGGAAAACAAATCATAACAAAAATAATGATACCAATACAAGACCAAAGATCATTTCATCTGGTTTCTTCAGCAAGAAAAATCCTGAGTCAGAAAAGGGGCAGAACAGGTGAGAACACAATACAAAAAGCAAATTACAACAAAAAGCCACTGTATCAATGCTGCGAGAAAGGATGAACAGCAGTTAATTAGAATAACTAGTAATGCTCTAAAATCTTAGTATTTATTCACTCAGTCTCCATGAAATCAAGCACTAGCTATTCACTTCCCTCCACAGTCCATAGGAAAGCTTCTTGTCTTTAGAAGCCATCAGAGAGAGAGCAGGATTAAAACCAGTGCCCTTAGCAGGTCATGGTGGTGTCCACCTGTAAACCCAGAAACTCAAAAGACTGAGGCAGGAGGATCACAAATTTAAGGCCAGTCTCAAGCAATTTAGTAAGGCCCTAAGCAACTTAGTGAGATCCTGTCTCAAAATTAAAAATAAAAAGGGTTGGAGATGTGGCTCAGTGGTAAAGTGCCCCTGGGTTTATTCCCTTATTTAAAAAAAAAAAAAAAAAAAAAAAGGAGTGCCCTTAATTTATAGTCTCTATTTGTGAAGGTGTTCACTTCATATAACTTTTACATAGTGAGAAAAATACAAATCAGAATTCTCTTTCCTAATATTTGGGACAGGAAAAACAAAGCATGATTTTTAAGTGAAAATTGTCTTTTTCTAATTTGAGTTCCACAGTATTCTATCATAGACCAACAAATTTGGTACAATTGCTTAGGAACTCTCCCCAGAGCTATTATTTTAAAGAAATTAGAACATTTCACTTTTGTATACAGGAAAAATAAAGGAAAAAAGAGATTCCATAGACTTCCCTGGGCTATAAAATTTCTTTAAATAACAATAATGTTTTTAAAAAGAAAAAAAAATATAACCTGTGTCAATAATATTTAAGGATGAGCAGTTCAATTTGCCAAAGCCCATCTCTGTAACACGTGATGGTTGTTTAGTACATTAACTCAGCAATTGTCACAGAATTTAAACCCCCAAAGTTGTAAACAAAATATAGAGCGCTCTTTTGTTCATGACATGTCATGAACAAATTACCAAAATGTGTTTTCTCCTCAGGTGTCAGTTTTTCCCTCTTTTAGTGACTGATGGCTCCCAGTGTTATTACAGAAACAGATTGATCTTTTTAATGAGCCAGTTTAATAGACTCCAAAATCTCACCGTGGCTGCTCATCCATGTCAGACCATATGCACCAACAAAACATTCAGTAAAACAAAAAAAAGCTCTGCTGTCAGACAGCTCCATACTCTATAAAATTTCATATAGTAGAGCTGGATATTCAGATAAACAGCCAGAGAAGAGGAAAATGCAGATGCAAACAAGATGCAGGAAATACATGCAAAAAGAAAATAAAGAAAAAGCCCAATACTATAGAGGTCCATATTTTCTTGGCTCAGATCAAATTCCCACGAGATACAAATGTATTTACGCAACATAGTCTCATTATTCTTTCTAAGGAAAATTCTAAGGAAACCTATTTGCCATCTTTCTATTATAACATATACTTCAGGGTTCCTTTTGAAAAGGGATGTTCCATCCAAAGATCAACCATATGAATTCTGACTACAGCAACTGTCTGTGAATAACCAGAGAACAAGACAGAAGACTCCTTTTAAGAGTCTTCAGCCTGACTAAATGAGCATACTCTCGCTGTCTATCCACCCCCCCACACACACACACACCACACAGGGGGGTAGGGCAGAGGGGGAGAGAGAGAGTTAGAGATCAGAACAAGAATGCTGAGTGTCTGTGGAATTTAATATGAAGTTTTGATATCAAGGTTAACTGCTTAGAGCTTACCTCAGGATTGTCCCAGGAAAGTCAAAAGCCATGTTACATTCAAATAAAAATTGCTAGAAAAGAGCCAGTGGGAAAATGGCTGGGAATATAGAAAAAAAATGAATGAACTAAAGTTTTTATATTCCATCTTACGGTTACTCAGTAGTTAGGAATTCTAGCTGAGGTCATGCCCACTTTGAATTTTGCTTCAAAGATTATCTTTATGTTTATCCTAACTATCTAAATCTTTTTATTACACCCTCCTCGCCCCCAAAATAAATTTCCTCTTCTCAGTTTGCCATTCAGCTTCTCCCTAATTATTTTATCACATTATCCTAGAAACATGGAGCTAAAATATCAATACCTGCATGCAGCACTTATTTCCCACAAGGTTAATGGGCTCAGATTGGACAGGAATAGACACGTAAATCTATTCCTGAGCCACTTCTTCGTTCTTATCATTGTGTAGACATACCACACAGGTACCCACATTAAGCAATTCCCTTTAAAAGCAAATGTACCAAATGCTCTTATTCCCTCTTAAATCTGACCAAGAAAATACAATTTTCAAAAAGAAGAAAGGAGTACCATGGGCAGGTCATATGAGGAACTGGATCTCCAATATTTCACTAATATTTAACCTTTTGCTTTAGGAAAATTAAACCATGAAGTCCTAGGTCAAGAGGAGATAAATTCCAGTGGTTGTAGCATAAAAACTGCTTAGCAGAGAATTATGTAATGACTACACTATAAATGGGTGGCTTTTAATAATATTCTGATTTGCACAGCAGCTAACACACTTAAGGGTAGCTAAGTCTGTCACAGACAGAGGTCTCTGGGCAGTTCCAAGGATGTTAATCTACTGTGAATCTGGAACATAACTAGGCCAGTGTCAACATCTCATAGGCTGTTGCACCATGTCTGATTAAATGCAGAAAAATAAGAAAAAAAAAAAAAAAAGAGAAAAGAAACCCAGTGCATGACAAATCAAGTTGTAGAGTACAGTTTCATTTTAAGAGTCTCCACGTTTCACATATACTTTGCAAAACGCTGCTGAGACTTCGCATTCTTATATCATTGCTATTCCCCTAGAGATGAAGGCCAGCAGCGAAACTACAAAGAAACATGTCCTCGTACCCCAGGTAGGAGGACCAGGCTGTGATGGGCCCAGGGTCCTCCACCCTCTCAC